TAGAGTCGGGTCAATTTGGTAATAGAAAACGCGAACTGACGACAAGGTTTTGACAGAGCGCTGAACGGGCGAGAACAAGTTATCGAAACGCAAACGGCAGTAATATAATCCTGATATAGGTTCCGAAATTGAGAAGCAAAGGCAATAAATACATAATTGTTCCAACCTTATCGTTCAGAAAGCTCTTAGACTGAAGCTTCAAGAGGCATTCGATAGTGCGGTATAGTCTCTTAGCTGGCTTCTCTAATCTTGCAGTGATGTCTACCTTTTGATCAAATTTAACAAACTTTAATTTAGTGATTAATAATAAATTCCGCTTTTGCACTCTAATCGCTTGCTCTTCAAAACAGTTCTGTGATTCCGAACTTTGAAACACATGCGATTTGAGACAAGGAAGATTACTTTTCTTGTTCACAGTTACGCTTACCTTAAAGTTTCTCCGTTTTTCCCCCGGGCTGATCAGTGAACAGGTCATTTCTTGAACTGCTTCACCGCTGCGATAAATGCTAAATGCTAAATAAAGAATGACTGAATTTCGCAACAATATATGCGGTGGTGCATTGAGTGATGTTGCAATTAACTCGAATTTACATCTGCGTTGCAAATTAGTTGAATAGATTCACGGACCTCTCTGGAGACTCGGAGCCATTCTAATGGGGAACTTGATCCGCGGGTTGTCGAACACGAAGCTCCCATAAGAGTTGATGGCAAAAGTGTCAGCTTCAGAAATTTATTCAATCACTTTTCTCAATGTTACTTTCTGTTTATGACTCTGTCCTAACACAACGCCTTCGATCAAAATTAGGGGGCGGATTATCCGTGGCTTTTAAATATTGCTAACTCTCATACAACTATTGAATATGAAAGAGATCGTCGCAGCAATGACCGCAATGAATTTTTTTAGGCCTTATTTTCACTGCTGCTTAAGTAGTTTTGCTGAAAGATCGCTTTCATATTCATTTCTTAATTGACAGTTTACATACACGATTTTCATATATTTACAGCCATTGTCAAAACTAGTCTTTCAGTTCTGAGAGCACACGATGGAAATGGAATCGAGGTCTTATTATGGCTGATAATTGAGTGTACTCTCCTTTGTTATTAGAGCAGTAGGGATTGAAACAGCTTGTGAAACTTTATGTTTAGAAAGGAGTTCCACCGTCCCCTTGCCCATATCTTTTCCATCTAAATTGCAATTGGATCAATTAATTTAAGTGGAAGGATTTGTTTGTTTCTATTTCTTGAATACTGCTTCTGAGTCGAGTATTAAACCTCCTTGCTTTCCCTCTAAGATTTTATTTTCCCTTTCTTTAGAACCCAAACGGTGGAACAAGAATTTCCGTTTCCGACTTTTAGGGTTCCGGTTTCTTTCCACATGTTTGAATTTCCGGAAATGGCAAAAGAACTGACCGCTAAGGCAAACACTAAAACAATGTCACGCGTTTGTCAATTATACAGTCGACAGCTGTTATCCATTTAACCCTCAAGATCTGAATGCTAATTTTCCCCTCTAGCCACTGTATACTTCCTTGTAAATAAGTTACAAGAATTTGGTTTTGAATCAAGATAACAACTTCTGAGTATTCACAATACCTGTTTGCGGGATGATGTACGGAAATTATTGGAAGAAATTACGTGTTAATCACCTCCAGAAATTAAAGGCTAAGGTATCACAGTGTGTAAATTCGTTACATAGAAATGTTATCTTTTTCGTTCAGTGAAATAGAGTAATGAATTAATTTAAGTAGTAGGAGTTTTTTGTCACCAGTTCATGAAAAGGGGCATAAAGTATTTAACCTTTTCACACGCTAACATGAGTATCTATATTCTCCTTACAAGAGGTATCGAATGGTCCCATTCAATTTAAAAGCGCTCGAAAAATTTGGCCTTTGCTCGAATTGTTCGCAAAAATTGCACGGGTGCTCGCTTGCTCGTGCTCGCAAAATTTTTGCAACTGCTCGCATGCCCGCATTCTCGTTAACATGTGCTCCATTGCTCGAAATTTCGTTAATCCTGCTTTGTAGTTATTTTTTTATACATAAAGTAAACGATAAATCAGTTATGATATGGTTAAAACGAAAAGGTCGAAACATCCTTACCTCTGGCTTTAGTCTTTCTTCAAAAGTTCAGCCCGTAACCGTTTTGGAGGCGCTGTATGTATTATCGGGGAAACTCACGAAGCTCCATGACAAGAATTTCGTTTATTTCTGTTTGAGAGAGGTACAGTTCCGAAGTTCAAATGCAAATTGTGATCTTTTTTTTTATCTATTCATTTGTTTCTTCCTCAGGAAATTCTGATAGGGCTGAGAGAAAGCTCGACATAACGGGAGGTGACATAATCTCCTGTGGAGACAACAATACTTGCGCACCTTTGTTGATCTAAATTCCCATTTATTTGAGCAAATCATTAGGGTTTGTAGATACGATGGATTTTCCAGTGAGCAATGGGAAATAAATTGGATGGAGTCATTTCTTCAACCTTGGAAGCTTCCTGGCCATTAGTAATAACTACTTAATAATTATAATCTGATGCTAAACGGTGGCATATGAACCGTCGGTCGTTTGGGCTTCACCGGTTCAGGGAAATTCTTTAATGAAATGTTGCTTTTATTATTTTGATCAAAACCTAAAGGCCTAGCCAAACGAGGAGACATGTCTAGAAACTGTCTCCATGTCGCACGGAAACACGAAATGTAAGAATTCTTCTTGAAAAGGCACCCGCGAAGGTAGAAAGTAATCTAGAGAAATACTCATATTACTAGTACTATTTCACCTTCAGAGCTATTACTAGAGCTTGTCAGATCTTTACGGCTGTAATTGGTTAGATTCTAGAAGCTTCCAAATAAATAAAGTCTCATTGCGTTGAATCTTTTTCAGTCAATCAGCGGGAAACCAGTTTGCCGATCATCGGAAACCGAAGCCCGAAATGCTTGTTAGACCTAATGTCTCGTTATTTACATTTCATAAGAACTGTATAACCAAAAAAACATACCTTCCATTTTAGCGTCGGGTTAGAAGGAGATGGAAAACTTTAGATCGCGGGCTCTGGATCTAGTAGATCTCCGTGAGAGCTCCTGAAGTTCCCCCATAGGCGGCCCAAGCTCTCGTCTCGAGAACAAGCCAAAGATTAATTCATGAGCGCGTCACGCGTTGTGTGACTTGGTGTTAGGTTACGAGAGGAACCGTTGAACATTTGAACACGTTATAAGGAATATGGTCGATCTACAACGATAAATATTTCGCATTAGGAACATTTCACACGTAAAATCAATGAAACTTACTCACATCCTGTGAGTCCGTTGTAGATTCTGGCGATTTCTACCGTTTTAAGCTTGCTCTACCCTCACAGCAAGTAAATGGGCTGTCTGTGGTTCCACCCTAACTGACTCACGTGAAGCTACGTGACGTAATTTGGCATCAAGCAGGGCACAGTTGGCTTTAAGATACTGGGACTGGTTTAACCGCCCTAGCTTTGCACCTATTGTTCTGTTTTGAAGGTGTCAGCCAGATTATTAGCTATTACTTGACGCAAAACAACGTATCCTATCAATAAAAGAAAGATTCCGGCCCGCGGAAAATTTACAAAGTACTCAAAGTGCTCGCTGCTCGCCACCTGTATTTCCAAAGTGCTCGCTGCTCGCAAGAAAAATTTGACAACTGCTCGTGCTCGCAAAAATAAACATACTGCTGGCATGCTCGCAAATGCTCGCAAAGACCACTCGATACCCCTCATACAGTTCTCTATACTATTCCTAAGGTGCTGACAAGGAGAATTTGTTTTAATAATTTAGAGCTTCCTTAGTTCGTGACCATCTCATATATTCTCCTGACCTTAAAGTTTGTTTCACGAGTGACGTTGTAAGGAGAAATTAAATGCGAGTCACTCTCAGTGTTAATCACCGTTTTTTTTTTCGCTGCCGATGGTTTCAAGGGAAGTAGAAAAAACAGTAAGAATGTATTTGAATAAGCTAAAAGAACTCATCATGCTTAAAAATTCAAATACGCCTTGTCTGTAAAGGTTGGCATAAACTGACCCCCAAAACTGACAATATATTGAATCTTTGGCCATCACTGACACTAATTTTTATTAAAACAACAACAAAGGGAAGTTTCATTCCCTGATCATTTTGAGCTATAATGTTGTAACAAATGTTTTTATAATTACAAATGTATTTGATTACTTGTAAGGTGATCACTCGTTCCCTTGAAACATCCTAGACATTTTTGAGAATTTTTTTTTTCACCATGATTTTCTCAAATGGCCTTTATTTGGCCCTTCTCATTTTGTTAATTTCTATACAATTAGTTTTTGCCTTATTTGTGGGGCAATTACTACAATATTATTTTAATAAAAGCTAAGTTTTTTCGTTTGTCTCACGATGTAGTCGCGACGTTTTTATTTCTCGAAAATTATTTCCCTTCATGGGTTACAAAGACCTTACGAGTCTGTCATAGTCAAGTTCAGATGGAACACCAGAATCCTATCAACGGTTTTGCTGCAACTTTGGCTCATTTATTTTTACAAGGATTAAAACTGTATGCTAAATTAATCCTTTAACTCCCGTAAGTGACCAAGACAGAATTTCTCCTCACAATATTAATACAATATCAAGCAATTAAGTGATGAGAATAAAGAAAAACAATTTTTTATGGGATTACTAATTGATCCAATACCAAATTCTCCAAACTAACATAATGAGAGTCGTTTGGAAAACGGTAAGGAGAATTACTAATGAGATCTTGGGTGGAAGTTAAAGGGTTAATTTTTTTGTAATGAGCTGAATGATAAACGCATTTTGAATAGTTCTTACTTATGATTTATCGGAAGACATATGCACAGATGACATTGCCATTGACCAAATGGTTGTTTTTTATCTATCATATAAAACAAATAGATTCCCTGTTGCCGTGGGTTTGTACAGTGATAAATAATCTAAAACGTCGAAATGTGGTAAGAAGATCAGAAACACTCGACTGCACCTCGAGCACCTGCACCACTTTCCTGTTCTTAAGACATATTGACGTCAATTTTGATCTATTATTGAACAGACGAACGCCATTACGGACAGTATTTATAAAATAAACACTTTAGTATCCCCAAAAGTAATCTTAGGGCTTAGGGCTAGTTTGCTGACGGACAAAAGACGTACTTAACTAAGGGACTTAACCAAGACTACTTGAAAATAGTGTGCTTACTCAAAGACTACCCAACGAAGGTCGTGCTGACATACTTTTACCCTCTTGAAGCTTCTTTGAATTCTCAGCTAACAGTGAGTTACTAACATAATTAACGGCTGCAGGAGCCTCCTGCCGGCTGCTTCAATGTAGTTTAGACATAGTGTACATACCACCAGATTATGTAAATCTACGAGAGTCAAACAGCTAAGCTTTTGAAAGAAACACTCCGAAGCCTGACTGCTTTATAAGATCCTGGAGTTATTCTTTAATTCTTGGTGTTAACTTTAGGGAAGGACTTCATTTTGATTTTTTCGCTTTTAACACCGGATGTTGCCAAGGTTGCCTTCAAAATGTTGGACTTGGAAGTTGAAGTAAAATTCAACTCTAGTTTGATGTCGCTCAGACGTCGAAAATTGTCAAATGCAATCTTACGGAAATCCTGTTTGCCAAATATGTACATACAAGGGTTTAAAAACGACGCCAGGTATCTCAGCCAGAGGATACAATACAATAAAATTAATGGTGCCTCTGACATGTCGAACCTTCGAATTCCAAAGTAAGGTAACCAGCAAACTACGTAAAGAAGTATCATGGCGGCAAAGATTACAATGGCTTTCCTTTCGTGGTGGTTTCTGTTTCTTCTGGCACTTACGCCCGGCGTACTGTGCCGTTGAATATTTCGGCTTTGGCGGATGATCTCAAAGATGATTATGACATAAGAGAAAAGCATGGAAACCACTGGAAAGAGGAAGTACAAAGCAAGAAACGCAATGTCATAAATCAGTTCTTTCTTCCTGAACTGATCTGATTCCCCCTCGTGAGGGTCATGATGGATTGGGTCGAGCCAGGTGAACTGCAATAATGAAGTAACCGCTGACAATAGCCATATAAGGAGAATAACCATAACACACCTGGGCTTGGTGACCAGTGTGGAATAACGCATAGGATGAACGATGGCTAAGTATCTGAAATTAATTGATAAAGCTAGTTGATCATCATAATAATTTGATTAGGAATCAGTTTATCGTAAAGGATTCATGTATATTTTGAGAATAACAAAGTGACTTAAGGTATATTTCTTGGTGCACCACTCGAAAGAGTTGTATAACCAGTATTTGCAATATGTTTGGATTTTTTCCCAAAAAGGCACGCTCTCATTGGTTACTTTGGGGTCATATGACATTCCATACTGAAACCGTTTTATCGCCAAAAGTCCCTGAGTGGGCAAAATTGCAAAATCTACGACGTCAGAGGAAAAAAGTGCGCTGTCATCTGCGAATTGGCTGAGGAATGCCTTTGTACGTGAACAGAGCGTGATCAGGTAAAAGTGGCGAGACATGTTTAGCGTTGCAGTATTTTGCGCTCCTATGTGCAATAAATTTCCGATTTATTTTCGCATAATGACCTTTCATGTCTTGTCATGTAACAAGTCATTGAACGACCTCTTCATCGAGGAAACTGAGAATTTTATCTTCCTCCGGTTCAGTCGTTAATTTAATGTAATTTAAGAAAATGTCGAATATGATAATAATGTAACGTTGCTTGTTTACCTGTCAGTTGTCACGGCCATCAAATGACACACAATCAAAGCACTTATGAAGCGTGCCGTCATTTCTTCTGTGATGCACGTGGCTGATTGGATGTGATGGTTGCACATGAGAAACATTGGCACAGCAACCAGGCCTGTGAGCAAGTCAGACACAGCCAGGCTACATAGCAGAAGATTAGTGATCGATCGGAGATGTTTTTTCTTAGCCATCAAAAGTAGCACCATGGTGTTAATAGTTACGATAAAAAATGCCAGGACAATTGGAGGAACATCTGCCACAAGATTGAAAGATCCTTGATACATATCCTTGTGCTCATCATCTGCAATGAAAATTCTTTTCATTCTATCTCTTTTCGACTGTGAATATATGAAAATCATATATGTGAACTTCGATTAAGAAATATATAAGGAAGATCTACGCATTAAGCAGTACTGAATATAGCGCTTGACACAATTCAGTAACATACCCGTGAAGTGATAACTAAATGACTGTGAGTACATGAAAATCATGTATCACGGAACTGCTGGTCAAGAAATGAATATGAAAGCGATCTTCGCAGTAACGCAGTATGAACCAACATTATGGCCAGCTCCCAGTTGGCTTGTTAGCTCAGTTGGTAGAGCGCTGCACCGGTATCGCAGAGGTCATGGCTTCAAATCCCATACAGGCCTGCTGCTTAAGTGTTGTTCATTGTATATACATCAAACAACTCGTACATTTTTGTTAAGAGCGAGAGTGGCTGCCAGGCAGCTGTAATCTTGCAAAGGAACAGATAACGCTTATGGGTAGTCTTCATTGCATTTCTTCGCGTTGCGAGAGATCGCTATCTTCACGTGAATGACTCCCACTCGCGTGTGTTGGCCTCAGTCCCCCGTGCCCACTTGTTCATGTCCAGCCAGACCGTCTACACCGGTTATGTAATCGGGAGGAGGTCATTTTAGAGGGAGGCGATGATATCGCATGCTTTGACAACTATGACTCAAATCGATATCCTCTTAAAAAAAAAATCCGAAAGATGCCTTGACGGCTGAAAATGTGGGAGATTCTTTCTCAGAAATTTAAGTGTGACGAGGTTCCGTGGAACACAAATAGAGACAACGAGCCATTTTTTTGTGCGATAGGCATCTTACCCTCCCTTCCCTCAAGAAGCTAAGGCGGGCTTATTAAGTCTTATAGTGAGCTCAGCTCGGGAACTCGTTCGTCATATACCCTAAGCAGAATTCTTCTTACCTTCGCTCGATACGTTTGTCACAGGATGAACACGAGTGTTGTTTTCCAAGGTAGAATTTCTTTCCATATTGAACTCGAATATTTCCTTCTGTTTGATTGAAACAAAACAGAAATGCTCAAGAAATGATTAAAAGTACTTTAAATGTAAAATTATCATCAGGCTTCCATGAAAAGAAGTTCAATCCGTTCGTTTCAACAGCCGTGATACACTACGACTGGATTCTGTGAATGCTCACCATTCGATAAATGTTTCCAGCTTTCATTTGAAGATCAAGATGAAAATTTGGAAATTAAAGACTTTGACGCAAAACCCTTTAAAAATTAAGCCAACGTATTAGTGGTGATTAGCTAGTATATTTCAGTGATATTAAGGGAAAAAATAGAAGCCTTAGAATTTAAGAGGGATAAGTAAAGCTGCAAGATGTTCCGGAACAAGAAGTAAGGTTTAATTACTTTACCTACCATATGCCTTTACGTTTGCATGGTTCTTACACTTTCGAAAAAGCATCGAAAGGAAATATCCCGCGTAAGAACCGCATTTATACAGAAGTTCATAGGTCGACACCAAACAAATACGTGTCAGCTAAAGTGGCGTCAATTGTGTTATCTTAAAAGTCGAAATGCTGGCGTCGAATTAAATGTAGAGAGCACTTCAGATAAATATGTGTGGTCCAACGTAAGAAATTGGTCGTTATCAACAAAAAAAGCATCATTTGCATTTTTTAAAGTTCGACGTCCGAACCATCTTGAATAGCTTAAAGCTTGTGGACGATTTCAAAGTAAATAATGATTATATCTACCTGTTAAACCATAATGTCCTTCGCATAACTCCAAGTTAGGTATGCCTACCCATTTTAACAAGTAGGCCTGTGGACGAACGTTTTTTTAATACTCCCTGAAAATGATCTTGAAGCCATTACGATTCAATGAACTGAATTCAATTCTTATTCGCTAGTTCCAGCTGCTGGTTTAAGTGGTTTTATATATCTGTGAGGTTGTATATAATTATTGCACGTCACGATTGGACTTCCTCTCTTGTTAAATGCATGTAGATGTGTCTCCCACATTCTCCTTTTTAAATCAAGACTGGTACATCACTAAATTTTTATGAGCACTTAAAAGCTAGTTGATAAACTCGAAATATAATAATGGACAGATATCACGAGGAGCACTCTACTTGTTCAAAGTCCTCTGACGTACTTCCACTTAGCTGACTGCATTTCGAAGCTGCGTCTGAAACAACAGGAGGTTGTCGCTCAATGGAAATATAATTGTGGCTAACGTAAATCATTTTCATAAGAATTATCATTTTCAAATCCCAAATTTCCCCTCAGGCTTTTTTTTCTCTACGAATAACTCAGATCCAGGAACCTATTGGGAAATCTTTCGCTTTAAGCTTTAAGTTCGTTCTTTTTCTATTTAATTGCTCAAATTTGTCAATACTCGGGGGTAATATAATTTGAAATAAAAAAGCTCCTATTTCAGAGTTCGTGACTTTTTGTACATCAATATTACTTGCTGTTTGTTTAGGAAATTTATGCCGCGAGATAAATGGATAATTTCCTCCCAAGAGAAAAAAGAGCAATTATGATAATTCAGTATTACCAGCTCAATGCAGATCGATTCCTTTTCTTTTATTCGGCATGCTGCGTTCAAAATTCGCTCTGTTCAAAGATTTTAGAAGGATTTTACGAATACTATAACGTCAAGGTGAAAAATTCTTCACTCTTAACTTTGCAACCCGTCTTGCTCTTACTTGTTGCCATGAGAAAAAATTTTTTTTAAGTCTGGGTGCAATATCGTTAAGTAGCCTCAGGCTAGTTTTTTTAGGAAAATTTTACAATCAGATTCAGTTGACAACCCTTGCCAAATGCGCATTGTATGAAAGCAGCAGATGATAGAAGCAAACACACAAAAATGATAATTTTATCGATGCGCTCCTGAAAACTTTCATTGATGGACAGTCACTGTGGTTTGTTAACCTATTGCAGTTTTTTCCGCCACTTAAGTGTACTTTTAAACTGATTTTAGAACTATATAGTACCAGAACACTTGGTTTTCCATATTATTTCGTATCAGTACCTTTGCGAATTACATCTCACGTATGAACCAGCTTTGATATTATATAAAATTCCACTTATGCAACGTCCAATCGATCGGCCGGTTTGAAAAAGGGGAGCGAGAGGGGATTAAAACGGATTGGAAATGACAATTGGGAAATAAAAGGCTGCATTTCGTTAAAATCCACAACCGTGACATAAGTCCTTCGAAGGCGAGATGTTGATCATTATCAGAATGATTTATCCTCTCCGCGGAAATGACACGTGCTGTTTCACATCATTTTTAACATTTCCACGTCATTTACAGGATTAAGAAGAGTAAATACCATGGAGGATTGTGTTCGTTTTGTTCACAAAATGAGCATTTATTCAAATGCCATATTTCACTTTCGACGAGGTTATTTCAACTTTTAAAAGTTGTTCATTAGAGTCCAACGCAATGAGGTAGACGCAATGTTCTCGCTACACGACATGTGACTTGGCTTAAAGGAGGAATCCGCTAGTGATGAATGCTGAGTGGTCTTCAACGTCATCTCCACTTTGAAACGACGCAATTTCGGCTGAAATTTTGGTGTAATTGGTGTAGATTACATTAACAGTGGTGTTTTCCTACTTCAGAATCACAGCACACAAGATGAAATCGGTATGTACTTTAATTAACGATTGCGACAGTTTTGTACCTCATCGCTGCTTATAGGCGTATTTGCATTTTTTCCCTTAGGAAGATAAACAAACCGAAAATAGTGTTAATTTGTTATACGGCTTTTTTGCTCACATTCTTCTTTGTTTAAGCCAAAACAGCTCTGTGACGATATGAACCTTTGTTAGGAAACGATGATGCCATTAGAGTGCGAAAATATAGGAAAGAATACGTAATTAGGAAAGAAATAAAAAACAATCTATTCTCCACATCTCAAATTTCCAGATTTCCATTTCCCGTTCCCCGCTCAAGAAGACGCAATGATAACTGTCATTGCTGTCGATAATAATGATAAAAGTGGCAATAATAATAATAATAATGATGATGATGATGATGATGATGATAAAAGTGATAACAATAATAATGATGATAATAATAATAATAATAATAATGATTATAAAGGTGGTGATAATGACGTTGAAATTAGCTAGAATGAAGATGATGCGACAGGTGCGAAAGGTACTGTTACAAAGTATAATAGTTGTCAAATTGTTTATTTATAAAGTACGGCAGGTATTGTAAAAAACGACAGGCATTACAAAATACGACAGGTATTATAAGGTACGACGATTATTACAAATTGAGACAGTCTTTTTGTCGCAAAACGAAACAATAGTTTTCACAAAGTGCGACAATTTTGTTATCAACTGAGAACGAAAGTTATCACAACGTGCGACGATTGTTACAAAGTGCGACAGAACACTTCTTCTTTTGTTTTTTAATGAGCAGATAACCACTAGTACATCGAAGTAGTTGGCTGCATCTCAAAACGATTTGCAAAAAAAGGAATAAAATTTGGCGCTGTGGTTATTTCTTAAAAGTTTCTTTTGGTGTCACCGTACGGATAATAAACGTGCTCACTAGCGCTTCCTCTCTAAAAAAAAATATGGGATAACATCTCTATCTTATTGTGGGATGATATTCTTCTGAAGCTCAGTTTGGTTAAAGATTTCGACTAAGAAAAATAAGCATGGGGTAGCCTTCAAAGCAGCTCTACATCAGTATTCAGGCCACTTTTGGGAAACATGAAAACATCTTCAATGTTTAAGGAAGGCCCGAAATATCATTTTGATAGGAAGATAGACGACACGAGACAGAAATTTAAACTTAGAGACAACAGGGATGGTGAGATGATAAAATGGAGCAGATGGTCCGGATGAACATGGATTGTAAATAACAAACACAAAAAATTAAGGCTGAATTTTTCAAGACGCAAACTGTTTTATCTCCTCAAAACAGAGACAAGTAATACAGGTTTGCTCAAGTAAGCCGCGGTAGCAGGAAAAAAAAAGAGGCTCATTTATAATTCTGTGTCACCTAACAATATGATATGAGGTTAAGAATTAAATTTTTTCTGCTTACCGTTCTGTAGATTTCGATGAAATTCCTGTTAGAGAAGAAATCACAAGTTTACCAGATCGCACCAACAGACCTGTGTTGCGTGTGCTCTTGATTTGCATTTACTGAGCGGATGTAGCTGATTGAAATCTTTAAAAAGGCGAAGACGCTAGTCTGAAGTTTTTGGAAAATATCTTTGAGCCTTTTTCATCACTTAGCATAAAACGCCTGGCAGCAACGTTATAGCCTTGGGAGAAATGTAGCTGAGCTGATCGACGCCTTTAATTTTCTTCGATCACCATGACACTCGCTGCGACCGCTCGTTTGTTAATCTGTTATCTCAAAAGCCACGACCATGGGGAATAGGAACTGCGCCGCTCTGATGATAAAAATAATTGTCTGTGAGATGTTTGAGCTCATCAGTTATATGAGCAAATTAAAGCGCAGAGCTGCGACATTGGCCTTCACTGATTGATTTTGTCTCAGTATTTGGAAAGCGGACAATAGAGCGCTTTATCCTTGTTTCATTTCAAAGGAAGGTGACATATCGCGAGCATAACAATTAGTAAAATCCTGTCTTATCCGGCTTATTGAACGGCGCAGAGATGTTATCCCTAATTATGGCCCAGAATTGTTACTGGTCAGGATAAGCAGATATTTTGATTGCAATTTGCTACATTATGAAGGGTCATTTCGAATCTATTTTCGTCCTCAGCATAGGAAATTAGTGTCCATCATATTTTCGTAATCGAGTTATCTGCAAGTACAATCTGGGTTGAAGTTTCATCCAAGCTTTTTTTGAATTAGCCTTGTGCAACACATGCATGTCTCCAAGAAGAGCAGAATTTAATTTCAATTGTCATCATTTCAGTTAAAATTCCAATTCCATTTCCACTTAAAATGAATAAAGAACAACGGAAAAAATGGTTTCTTTTAGAATTTCGGAAGTAGTGGACTAGCTTGATGTAAATTCAAGCTGGCGATAAATTATTGCGAAATTTCCTCGTTTCAATTATTGTTTCATTGTAACGTAACATCTTTCGGTATTAAGCGGAATGGGTGCACTGACCCTAATATCATAATCGCAGATAAAGGGATTACGATCTTCGTTTTGTATTTCCAGGGGGGAACTTTTCGGTATAACCCATATAGATGTGTACCGCCCCAAAAGTTATGGTTTGGGAGCCGTTTTGGTCTGAAAACGAGTGTAGATCCAGGGAACCAATGATGGTGCATGAACGAACATGTTCAAATGAATATCAGAGAAAGGTGAATCTCCGAAAAATATTGCAGCCAAACGGAATTTTTGGTTGAACGTTAACCAGTTATTGACTTAGGCACTGATTCTAAGCATGACTTAAATAAGTTATGGGCTCCTGGCTTGATTTTGCCTAAGATCAAGACAAACAGGTGCGGTTTTTAGAAGCCATATCTGAAAAATAATGCAGAAAAATGGTATATGTTTGATTTAAATAAGGTCAGAACTCACCCCCCCTCCCCTAATCCTCCCGCCGACGGTATCAGAAAATATAGAGTGTTTTAGTTGTTTTCTCTCTGTGTCATCACTGTTCATCCCCAAAATGTGACCGCCCCCATTAAAGGCGCTAATTCTTGCAGATCGTTTTGCTAATTGAAGCAAAACAGCTTGCGAACGCATTTAAATTTGGTTGTTTCTTAGCTGAGGCCCGCCGGCGACTTTCGTGTACTATTAAGCCAGTAATGATGCTTTAGTTTATTTGTGTTGGTAAATATTCTTGCCTCAGATCGACTGA